GGTTTACGGAACCAAACAGCTGTGCTTTTAACATTAATACTTTACCTGAAATCTGTTGAACTTTTAGGTTTTTTACGTGAAATGCATTTGATATCACTTGTTGCAAAATGGCCTCGTCACTCGCCTCCGCTTGAACTTCCTTTGACTTATAATTATAGACAGAATCATAACCAAATGCGACACTAAAATGGGGATACCGACAATGATGATTAGCACAGAGTTCCCTGCTGTTGTGTTAAATCTCTGTAGGCATGCACCTTTAATGCAACGATGTTTATTATCTGCTGGATGCTAAACATTCATTTACGGACTATGGGTAGATAGTAATATTCACCAGAAGTTAGAAAGTTCTAGAAAGTTCTCTGATGTCCTTAAAATATATTAAGTATATATTTTTTGAAAGAATAGTATGTGTAATGAATATGCGCAACATGAATATATGCAATGTAAACATTACGCAAGCAGTTCATAATTTTTCAGTACATGGTGCCTCCTCAGTGATGAATCTGTAAATCTTTCGACTTTATATTTATTGAACATCGTATTTCTGTAGTATTGTTATGATTTTATACCTCGGTATTTTGATCTTTTTGAGAATTAGTTGTACTTTGTAATGCTCAATTTTTGCATGGAAATATGGTCAAGTTTGACTGAAATATTGCGTTGATATTTTTCTCTTAAAGTTTAGTGTTATTTATTAAATTTCTCAGCTTCTGTAAAATATTTCCGTATATCAAACGTTGTGTTCAAATTAAATTCATCTCTTTTACTATGGCAAGTTTATTTTGTATAAAGAAATCGTCTCTTCTGTTTTGACGAATTAATTTTTTTTTTTATTATCTAGAGTAATTAGGTTATTTTGAAGCTTAAATGCGTAAAATGTGAAATATATTTGTGTCTGGAACATACGATAACACTTTGTTCAACGTGTTGCTAACATTTGCTTCATTTTTTCTTTCTGCCTATGGTAGTAATAAAGAAAATAAAGAATCAGTATACAGTAAAGGTATGCAGGTACGCTATTTTTTTTTTCTATATTAGTTTACGGTTTTATTTCGTAAAAAATATTAATAGAAATTAAAATTAAAATTTTAATTTTTATCATTTGCATATATTTTAAGTTTGATCATAAAATTTTGGCATAAATGTAATGCTTTTACCTGAAGAGTAACAGATTTTTCTTCAAGAAACACGAGCTGGGTCTTTTGGACCCAGGCCGCGTGCTCGTGTGACTGGAAAGAGCGCGCTCGTGTTACTCGTGGGTTAATGAAGTGTAGATTCCTTTTAAAGGAATAATATTATGGTGTAACAGACGGCATGAGTGCACTAACACCTTTCAAAGACTCGTCCAGTTCTTCCATTCTTCCGCTCAGGAAGAGAGGTAGACCTCTAAAAGTTACTTCGCATTCCCGAAATAGTCAAGAACTTGTGGTTCCGGACAGTGCTTCAAAGAGAGGTCCTCTTGCCCAGGAAACCAAAAAAACTGATACTAGAGACAATATTACAAGAGCTTCCAAATCTCCCAGTTCTGTCTCCTTGCTGGAACGTCGGCGGAGCCAGAGGGGGAGGTTGTAACCAATCCGTTAATATAAACTCTGCTGCTAATATAAACTGTTGGACTAACTGTAACAACAAGGTTGCCCTCTGGTGAGTTCTCAGCGAAGGACTTCAGTAAAAGCCAAGTGTTTAACCTGATAGGTTGTTTCAGACTCTTGCTCTGTAATTTGTAATGTCCGTGGGTAACTTAAACCTGTTAATAAATAATTTTTACACTATAAAGGACTCTTATATGACCCTATGCAACACATAATGGTAATATGGTAATTTTACTTGCAGTTTATCCGTGACTACTTTTCATTTGTTGTGTTCTTGTCGTAATTATGTCCTTCGGAAATTAAATTATTGACATTATTTCCCCTCTCGATTTTTGGATGATAACGTGAAAAAACAGAGGGAAATGCGGTATAACGTGGAAACGAAGATCGTCTCGCTCGAGCATACAAGCGAGCCAGGGGAGTTAACGAGATTGCAAAGAATTCAAAATGAAATGCATCGCATCATTAGAAGTGGGTTGCGTTAGGCCGTACGCTTAGTTCTCGCTAGTGATCAATTTGTAAAACTTTTGCGTTGATACGCATATGCTTATGCAGGGTTATACCGTGAACAGCAGTACTTTCTTGCAGCTTCAGATATTTCCATTGTGCAATACATGCTAAGAAAACAGGAATAAATCCCATTATCAGAAGCCCGTTGTGTAGACTAATACTTTGCTTACGGCCGCTCATGCTTATATATATACACTAAAGCTTCCTGACGATATTTTCAGGCAACGCGGCAAAGAGGAAATGTAAATGTTGGTACTTTTTCCCCTGCTATCGGGACCGGTTTCAGAAATGTATGCGTGTATGCATGTATGTATGCACGTGTGCGCATGTATGTGCGTGTGCATGCATGAATGTGAGTATGTACTATGTGTGCGTGCATATGCATACATGCATACAAACATACATTTCTAAACACGGCCCTGGTAAACAGGAAAGTACCTATATTTGTAACATAATGTTTAATTTCTTATAGGTGAAATCTTTTTTTATTTCGGTCATACTCTTATATCCAGGAGAATTTTATTTTAATCAAGATAAAATAATTCTGTTATATTTATTTAGTCTAATACATGTCGATTCAGTTAACAGAATTCATTTCGAAACAAAACTGGAAGCTCAAATTTTGAAATATTTGTTGTATTATACTCTAGACATTCATATTGCTCTTTTTAACAGTATTTAATTGGAACGCGGCATAAATCTGAAATATATATAATGGTTTACGAGGATGTAAGCAGTTGATCTTTTCATCGTGAAAAGAAAATAAATTGCAAAGTTTCAAAAGCATGTTCCCATTCGCATGTGCATTGTGTTTAATGTGTTGTGAGATTGTTTATTTCCTGCTTTGAGTATGTTTATTTTCTGTCTTTGTTTGTTGAGCGGTTTGAAATATATCAGTTATCCTTAAGATGAAAGAAAAACGTTTTTGTCCGTCTTTGTGTTGATGTCAACCTGTTGCTGTTATTTTATTCTTATGCTATCGAAAGTTTTAAAAGCTAAATGCAGGGTGAATCTGAACGAGTAGGCAAAATGTTAGGGGGTGATAGAAGCCGGCTGTTCGAGCAATATTAGTCATAGAACGTATGGTCGTAACGCAAGTGGTGAGAAGTTAAAGGGTAGTTTTCCACTGTCACATGTAAAGAATTAACACAAGAATGAGACGCGATACTACAGAAAACATTTTACAGAACATGCTCCATAGAAATTGCTCAAAAGACCTTCCGCCAGCGGTAATGCAGGCATCACACCTGCGGGATAGGGATTGACGCACATTTGCGAAGATACTAGGCATCATTTCCCGAATATCGCCGGCAACAACGGCGATCTTGGCGACTAGGTCCATATTGGCTTCAATGGGGTACTTGTAGATTTGGCTTTTACAGGAAAAAATCCAAACACGAGAGATCCGGTGATCTTGGTGGCCAAGTTATTGGACCACCTCGACCAATCCATAGCTCTGGAAATTTCGTGATTCGTATAACGAGCAATCCTCTCACCAATACACGGTAACAAATGCCGTTGGACCTTGAATCTTGAATCTAATATGGATCGGTAGTCTTCGACCCTGGGCCTTTACTACCAAAAATTACTTTGTTCCTTGCTGGAAATCATTTTTGAATCTCTTAGTCCTCGCCAGATGGCGGCAAATGAGCACCGAAGTGCAAAAAGTTCTGTCGTAGAGAACAGCAATTATTAAGTCAAAACAATTATATGGCCTGAGTCATCAGTCAGTGCGCTATATTGAAGATGGAAAAGACATATATTAAGATTATAACACTAAATAAAGTTCGGCTGGCGAACTGAAGTTTTTCTCCAGATCCCGATTACTATAGAGTTCCAAATAGTGAAAAGAATCTCCCCGGCGGGGAATGGAATCCCTGTCTCCCACGTGACAGGCGGAGATACCGAATCCTGGGATCGAATCAGGGACGTTTAGATCTTTAGTCTAACTCTCTCCCAACTGAGGTATTTCATATTGCGAGAACTCTCTAAAAGGACACAGTTCCTCACTATCCATACACAACACCGCTGGGCTGCGAGGACCGACCTTTTTTATGCCATTTAATTTACAAAGGCATCTCGCCCAGACGGTATAGTAATTAGGGAAGCCTGACTGCGATACCGAAAAGCCTGGGTTCGAATCCCGGAAAAGGCATGGTTATAACTGTCCATTCATTCATAGGAGGCGATGGTGGCCCACCTATTAGGTGCCTCCATAGTAAAGAGGTATTAGGTTGTTATGGAAAGGGCTATTAGGCGTCTCCATAATAAAGTCCATTAATCTATACACGGCCAGATGTGGTTAACCACATCTGGCCTTGTATAGATTAATGGACTGTGTTACGCTGTAACTGTTCACAAGCTGCCTGCCATTGGGAGGGGGAATTTACAATGCCACCTAGCGGCTCGTCGTTTGCGTTCCGACCATACATTCTATGATAAGTATTGCTTGTATAAGCTGCCTTTTATCATCCCCTAAAATTTTGACCACTTGTTCAGATTCACCCTACATGTTATGTAAAATAAAATAATGCATAATGTATACGTTTGAGCACATATTATGTTTTGTGATTTTACTGGTCAAGCAGTTTTGTTTAAAAAGTGCTCTAATATTTAGTGATTAAGAAGAATTTATTCACATTGAAATATTAACAATTAAAAATTTTGAGCCAGAGGCATGGATATAAACTGAATTGTAGGTAATAGTGAAATTTCTATTATGTAGCTTACTGTAATTTATAATTTGAACTTAAATTAATGAAATAAATATGTAAAGTAAGTAAAAAAAAATTTTAGTTTTTGTTTAAAATGCAAAAGCTATTCTTTTTTGTTGTTGTTTTTTCGTGTGGGATACAAGTTGACTATAGTGCGTTTAATAATCTTTATTTTCTTTATAGGAAATGCATTTTTTCATTAACTATTAACAGTCAGGATATGGTGTGTGAACATGGTATGTAAATTAATACATTTTTTGTTCATTTTTGTGTTGTATATTTTTGTTTTTAATATTTTTAATAACATTAAAAATAAAGCTAGAAATTTTCATATTTGTATACCTGAAAGGTTCTACAAAATACCATGCTTTCCAAACTTTTCTTTTTTCAGAGATTTGGAAAGGCATACAGTAGGTGATTGATGATAAATGTTGATGTAGCATTTAAATGCAGTATTTTATAAATATTTGTTTTACGCTTTATTATTTTACACATTAATGTATGAGGCATTCTAAAAATATCTGTTAAAAAATTAAATATTTTCATAATGTAAGATACACTGTAGTATTTACAAAATAAACGTTATCATAAGAAATCATCTTCATAAATTGATCTTTAATGGATCCCTTGCATCTGGGTGTCCTGTGTTACCACCTAATGGCATTTAAAAAAATTTACATGAGAAAATAGCATGTATATCTGTTTGGTATTGTCATTATTTTCTCATAAAATATTAAGCCTGCTTTGCCTTGAAATAAAATTACAATTTTTTTTATGAATAATTTATTATATAATTTAAAATTGTTCTCACATAGTGTGATTTTATTTAATAGCTTGTAGTACCTGACCTTACTAATGACATTCAAATTTCGATCAGCTAAAAGTTTAAAATTGATTTAGTGGGAAATTTTAATAGTTATTGGAATAAAGTGCGTCATTTACATGTTATTTAACTCAGACTGGTACTTTCGACTTATTTTAACCAGGTTCTGGATAATTTAAACGTGATATTCGGTATATGATAATTACATACGAATGTCATAAAATCATTTTTAAGCAAACTTTTTTTAATTACGAACCGTATGCGCGACTGGCACCCAAAAATACTATTTTAAAACAGAAAAAAATATATACAGTACAAAGTCCGTAATCCGGAGGTCCATTATCCGGAATGATCTATAATCCGGACCTCAAAGCCACAAACTTTAAGCATGCGTGTAAAGAATGCTTTACGCATGCGCGCGTTGAAAGAAATGTTTAATAAAGTAAACACATAAATATTAAGTTTTTTTTGTAAACTTTGATACCCTTTAGATCATAATTGCTCTTTATTTCATAAATTACGGTTTCATATTTTTAATTGCATAATTTCTGCATGTCATCTTACCAGATTTACATTGATGATCTATAATCCGGAAAACCTCCTAATCCGGAATCGCCGAAATCCCGACGAGTCCGGATTACAGATTTTGTACTGTACTGATTTTAATGAGTCATTTAGCTAGTTAGTTATTATCGCTAGTGTTATTTCATAAAAATATGCAATATTTTTAATTAGATATATCACGAATTAAATGCTTTTTATTTAAATCAGTCAGATTAAAATGTAATATATCTGTGTATGTAAGAAAATAACGAATATGTAAAAGATTAAATTAACAACGTAAATTTCCTTCCTCAATTCTAAAAAATAGTAACCTCTCTCTGCTTTGCGTCATTTCTAGATTAATCCATGTCATATGACTCTTACATAATTCTGGTGATATAAATGGAACTAAAACTCTCAACAGCCAATAGTAATTATATAGCAGTATTAACTGTCCAATCAAAATGCATCGAGAACCAAAGCTAACTCAGTCTGAATTAAGATTTCACCCTGAAGGGAGTTTCTGGAGGCAACACGACCTTATCGTAAACAATCAAAGTTAAATGCGATTTTCAACTGAGAAACCTACTTTATAATCTTCCCATTTATGAACAATGTAGATGGCGTTAGTCATGCTTGCTTTGTGCGCATGCGTTCGAATGATAATAATTTGCATATACCAACTTGTAATACCTTTCCTTTTTATAAATCTGACGTTAGTTGCAAGTTGACGTTAGTTCATGGTGTAGCAATTTAATGGCCAACAGTGATCCTTCATATTGGCAGCTAAGAACTCGGAATTCAGTCTGGGTAAAAATTTCTCTTGTTCGTGGTGAAATATACATTGGGAAATACATAACTTATTCAAAAAACCCACTAGAATCCATATATCCCATAAGTACACTGCCAAATTTTAGTATTTTTACTTTTTACAACCGTATTTTTATGTTTAATTCCAAGTATCAATTTATCACAATAATATAAGGAAACATTAATTTTTAAAAATAGTCGAAAACGTCATTCTTTTTTTCTTTCCTTCCCTACCTCTGTTATTCTGTTAAGCAATACTCTAGGACTGCATTCATATAAGAGCGAAAATGTAGGTTTTCAGATATGATAATGAACGCAGATTGTTAATTATGTATATAATAACTGTTCTTGAAACGTCAATATGTAAATAAAAACAGCGCAAAATGGAATTTACTTGCATCACAGAAGTAATAGACGTAGTGGCTGAAGCATATTGTCCCGTTGATTCCGAAAGGGTTAATCTAATCTAAACACTATAATACTACTAGAAAATTTTGTGCATGTACTTGTAATATTTTTATTGCGTTTTATGTTATATATATTTTTTGATTTGATTTGCGAGGAGAATATCATGAGAAATTAGAATTATTAATTTTAACAAAATTGACTAAAAAAATTCTCTTTTTCTCTTTTTGTTTAAATTTATTTCACAATAATTGTGAAAATAGTATTACTTCTTTCCTTAGCTGTCGTGTAAAATTAAGGTAAACATGTACAGAGGCTTAGATAGTAGTAATTTTATTCTAAAGGAAACACTGTGGCAATTTTTATTAAGTTTTACTTATGGTTTAATTTTCATTTAAATCATCATATTCTACTCTTTTTGGCTGATATCACAGTTTTCGCTCAGATTAAAAATTTATGCAAATTTAAGCATGTGACATTGTTTAAAAATAGAAGTATAACTGTGACGTATTTGAGCAATCGCCGCTGTGTCACTGAGTACTAGTATCTGCTGAACCGTGGGCGGCCACAAAATTTACACCGCATCTACAAAAGTTCTCACGCAGCCTTTATGTTCGCACCGTTGGTCGCAGACATGCACATCCAATCACAAAAATATTTTTAATGACGCAAATATTCTTGTTTTGGTATTTTTAAATTTAAAATCTGAAAGTTTTCAGATTTTATATTGCGACCAAAGAGGCTTTTTTTCAACGTTTTGTGTTTTACCCTTATTTATTAAATATGTTCTTCGATCTCAAAACCATAAAATTTAATTCAACAGAAGTATCACAGAATAATTTTAGAAAAGGATATCTAGAATTCCCGATACACAGATAGAAAGTTTTTTTACAGTACCCCATTCCGTATACTATATTCAGAAAAGATTTTGCAGAGACTGTAAAAAACAATTTAAAAAAAAAATTGACATCTGTATGACAAAAACTGAAGAGAGATATTTGAATTCAAAATACCCACTTTTTCTATCATTTTCAACTTCTAAGTGTTCAAAACAGTATAAATACGTTTTTGATGTTCTTATATGATTTTATTACTTTCGAATTCCAATCTTATAATCGTACAAAAAAAAATTCATCAAACTAGAAATATTTTAAATTTATGCAAATAAAGTTACCAGTAGGCTATACTGAAAAAAAGCTTACTCTGTTTTCTAGAACACGAATTCTGTAAGATTCTGTGGATAATATCACTTTTTTGAAACAAAAATTATATTTGCCGATCCTTTTCACGATAATTTGCATAGGAATTATATTATTGCTTGTCGCTTTATCAGTTAACATCAGAAAGGTTTTCCTAAACTGATATTTTTAGTTAAATACATCGCTTTTCAATTTGTGTACGGCCCCCGAATATGATGTCCAATTTTAAAATTAAATATCTCTGCCATTTTTATGTTCTGCAAGAATCTTTTTATTTATTTAGTTTTTAAATAATGAATATAACATTTTCTTAAATCTCAATGATTCATGAACTTAAAGGTATTGTAGAACTATGTGGGTTTAGCTTGTAATTGGAATTCTGCTTTGTGAAAATGTGCATTTTAGCGTCAGAGCAAGCAGTGTCATCTTTGTAATAACTTGGTTGGGCTAGCCATCGATTGAGCCTATGGCGAATTTCAGTTAAAAATCACCAGAGATAGCTCGACAAATTTTATTTTGAATTTTAATTTGACTTGTGTTTTGTGCTGAGAATTAAATAGTTGTTGAGGCGGTAATTTATCGGATCGTTAAATCATAACACTGCGTGCGTTAGGTTAATTTCACACCCCAGAATGATAAATAAACCTGTGTATGTTTATAAATAAATAAAGAACGAAAAAAGCGTAATTTTTTAATGAATAATGCTATAAAGGTAACAATCGGTAAAAATATAATTTTGCCCGAATTTTATTCACCTGTTTGAATGTTATTTTGCCGAAATGGTATTTTGTTTACAAATTGTCGAATAAATTTTAAAAGTTATTAGAAACTATTTAATCAAAATAACAGTAGTTTCTGGCGAAACTAGTGTTATTTTGATTCTAAGGGTGTAATTACTGTTTTCGCATTAAGTCATTAATTTACTAGAAAGTAAGACATCTCCAAAAGTCTGTCCTTCGCGAAAGATTTTGTGTATTACTGGCCATTCCCTTTTCTGCATAAAGAAAAACACCACAGAACAATTACTTTTATACTCTATTTAAAAAGACATTTTTCTTTCACATTCTTCTGCATCATATTCCATTCTTTAAGTTTCCTCTCTGATGGTATGGCCTCAGATGTTTGACTGTAGGACCGGTGAATGCATTCTGCGAAACGTGATGAGACCAAACTATTTTCGGCGTGGATTTCCCAGTGCTCTGGGATAAGTATCGATCCCACACCGTTGTCCTGGCAACGCAGCAAGGGAGGGTGCGATGGGGCTTTCCTATGCAGCTGAATATAGTGAACAAGTGGTCACTAGGCCCTTCTAGTCTCTCCAGGACGGTTATTCTACTCTACGAGAGTCGACAGCAAGTTGTGGGCCGCCAGATGTCGCTGCTAGTAAAAAACAGGTCTGTCCGACATCCTATATTCTCTGAGTACGGAAGTTGTCGAAAGCGCGCGAAAAAGTGTT